ATAAAGTTTTTTCTAAGATACAAATCTCGTTCATATGAGCATTTTTTCTTCCATGACTTTTTTTAAATAACTTATTTTCTAGTTCTTTATCCCTAACAAAGTATTTTAAGATGAACAGGTCGGAGTGCCTTTTGTATGCAATATTTTGCCATTAAAGGCCGTGATTACAACATTGCCTGAAAGGCATGAATTTAATGGTGTTTTTGTTTTCAGTATAAAAATTGTTTTCGACAGTAAAGAAGTTTCCAGAATTCATCCGAAACGTATAAATTCGATTCCATCAACTAAGACAATGCATAAGCCATCATAAAGTTATCTTGCAAAGAGAAAATAAAGCAACATCACTATCAGTGTGTTTACAGTAAAAAATAGCCCTCAGTGTCAACACACGTACACACACACAGACACACAAACAAAACATACATACTTATCGGAATCCGACAGAATGATAAGATAAAAAACAAATTGGAAACGTTTATCAATCTAACATGTTTTACTTTTTGACACCTTCATCAGAGAATGAGTTATGGAAAAAAAGAAGAAATTCAGGTATTTTAACTTTTGTGTTCTTTGATTTTCATTGGTTAATCATGTTTCACGCGTATTCGACTTGTTAAACAAACGTTAGTATAATTTTCGGTGATTTGAATTCGTCCATTTGAAGTTTCAAGAAATCAGTGGATTCCAAGCCTACATGAAAAATTGTAAATATTCCTTTATGTATATAAGTGTATAATAACTCTAATTTTTCTATGCAGGATTCAAATGATAATGCATATCTGTGTGTGTGTGTCTAGTCGACATTATGGTTATTGCTTTTTCGCATGTTGATTTTGGATAGGTTTTACGTACGTACTGTTTGTTTTAAATAATGATGCAGTGATAAACGTTTCCTATTTGTTCTATTTACTATATACACACACACACACAACTTTGAGTCGTACAACTGGCGTAGGTAATATGCATAGTTATTAATATATATATATATATATGTGTGTGTGTGTGTGTGTGTGTGTGTGTGTGTGTGTGTATAGGGTGCGATCAGTAAATTGTCGCCATTTTATATTTTCAATTTCGCGCATGCGCCTTCTTTGTTTTTGATTTTGTCGACTGCACAGTATAATAGGGTCAGTCGAGCACCGTCCGTGATAAAAAGAACACCATGACGCAATTCACTCTGCTAAAAATTTGGAAACGGCATTCTGCACTGCTTGGCATTTCCGCCGAAAGCTCCGATACAAACATTTCATAGTGTTTGGTTGTCAATCTGAAGACATTGCAGAAGATTTGGAAAGAGTTAGATGAGTCTAATGGTGATTACCAAAGTACGGCAATTCAGAAAACTCACTCTGATCGTTCTGATAAGAAATGTGTTGTTGAGGGCCTGAACAGGAAGGCTGTCGTCAAGTGCCTTGAGGAGGTAGTTCTGACCTGGGTCAAGAGGACGACTGCTAGGAGACCCTATGTCTGGCAACAGGACTATGCAACATGCCACACAAGAAAGAGAACACAGTCATTGCTTTCAGGTAATTTCTACGACCACATTTCCCCTTACATCTTACCATCTAATTCTTCAGACTGTAAACCCCGAGATGATTATGTGTGGCGCGCAATTGAGTGAGAGGCCAGCAAAACTCCTTGTAACACCAAAGATAAACTGAAGGCAAGGATTATGGCAGTATTCGCCAACTTAAACAGAAGAGTTGCAGGGGATTCCGAAGTTGTCTGGAGGCCGTGGTTCAAGCCAATGTCGATTTTATTGAATAAATTTACTCTTTCGTATTTCAAGATATTGCTGTATAATTTTGGTAAATATATCTGTTAAAATGAGATGTCAGTGTTATTTCCATTTTTGCGTAATTTAGACGGCAATTTATCTATCGCACCCGGTATAATTTGTTGTTATACTTTATTTATATAGACACAAATATTTAAGTAAATGTTTTGTTTATAATAAACAGTATTAACAACATTTTTCGGCCTGAATGTCCGAGACATTTTCATAGAAAATATGCGTCCCCCAACAGGAATCGAACCTGTATCCTACACGGGACCGTCATATAGCCTGAAGTGCTATACCAGTTCAGCTACGAAGGAAGAGTCTGGTTAGCACGGTCGATTTTACTGCTTTTAAACTACAATCTTCCATGATTCCTGTCAGAGAACACATATTTTCTATGAAAATTTCTCGAACGTTCAGGCCGGTGGATGTTTTTAATACTGTATATTATAAATAGAGCATTTATATATATATATATATATATATATATATATATATATATATATATATATATATATATACGGTTGAGTAATGGATATCGGCTTGGATTGATTACGTGCTAATAGCCTCGGAAAAGGTGTAAATCCTCATTTTTCTCCCTCCAGCTATGGGTAAATGCACGAAACCTTCACAACTATCATCAGATCTCATGTGCTGTTGTCGACTGATGGTTTCCTGAGAACTGATCTGCTTGACCCTCATACGTCGAATTCGACGGGAGAGTCTAGTATATATATATATATATATATATATAAATTTGCATTTTTTGACGTGGTTATTTTTCGGACCTTTTTCCGGGTGTCCGATTGTTAAAATTTTAATATATTTTAAAAGTTTTAAATTTACTTATTTTATGTTCATTTTATTTTACGTTATTTCACGTTTTCTTTAAAATGCAATGCCAATGAAGTATTTCTACTAACTGCGCTTTTTTGGCCTCACGTTTTCCACTGTCATAAAGTGGAGTGACTACATCAACTAGACAGCTGCATCTACTGCAAGGACAGTTGGATCACTGTGCCGTGCCAAAAAATAATTATCTCGTCAGGATCCATCTTGCACATCTATAAATCTACCATTCGTTCGTGTATTGGACACTGTTGCCATATAATTTCTGGTGCTCCTGCCGTTTATCTCGAGATTCTCCACAACATCCAAAAGACGGATCTGTAATGTTATCGGTTGTGACCAGGCATCTCGATTTCAGTTACTTTCTCAACGATATAACGTGGTTTCACTCTGTCTTTTCTACAAATATCTTCTTGGCAACTCTTCTAATCGGTTTTTCCCCCAGAATAGGCGGGGAATGTCTAGTCGGTGGGCCGTGTTCAAATACAGACGGAGTCAGTTGCTTTAAGATTCGCAAAAACTCCTTTGAGAAGAACTGATCTGTAAATAACCTTGACCATGGCGGTCAGTCTAGGAGAAGAAAAACTGAATCAAGAACTGTTGAGAAAACAATGCCAAATCTCTCTATTATCCTTCCTAAGAATTCATGACAATTCAAAGATAAAACAAAAAAGAATGTGTGGAGAGCCATGATCAGTTACGTCTTTCAAATTAATTTTGAAATATTTCTTTTTTCAGTGCTGCATCAGGTAACATGGTTGTCTCGTAACTAACATACAAAATTTAAAATTCCATTTGTTTTGCATATTTGGAGGAATTATTCTTAATTTGCAACTATTTCTTTTTCTACAGACGATGGCGCTACGAACAGGCTATTGCGGGTCTCTTATGGAAAGTTTGTCCCTCGGATCTGCATATTGTATCCGATAAAACATCCACAGAAAGCAAATCAGCTAGCAAGGTAATGTATTTGATAAAAATTTTCTCGTAAATTGACAATATTTTTCACAAAGTTGCTCCTCTCCAAGAAATAATCCAAATGTCTTTGCCTTCTTGTTATAACCTAGGGAAGGTTACTGAATAGAATAATCAGACGAAATTTGGTAATGAACGATAATACTTAGGACAAGAACAACACATATAAGATTCGCCAGCGGAAGCGTAGAAAACGTAGTCACCTTCTAGAAGTGAGTCAAGTGAATTCCATGATTAATCTCTAACGGCAGGATATCTACCAACAGCCGCATACGGTCAGATGTGGCACAAGGCTGAATTTAATGTGAGGTATCCGAGCCTCTAGGCCAGGCCAAAAATTCGCCGTAGACCCCGTATAAAACGGGGTCGGGTAGCTGTTTTCCGAGTCGAGACTTTGCTCTTAGACATAGCCTCGTCTGGGGATCCTCTCTGTCCGGAGACAGAGAGTTTGACCAGAACAGCTGGAGACGAATCTCCAACTGCAGGATATCTACCAACCACCCCACAAGGTCAGATGTGCCACAAGACCGAATTTAATGTGGAGTATCCGAGCCCGTGGGCTCGGCCAAAAATTCCCTGTAGAGACGAATCTCTAACTGGACCCAAAGAGTGTGAGTTCAATACCCGGTTAAGGCAGTGGAGAACATGAAGAGGGGAATTAACAGGAGATAACTGATAACTGATATCCATTAAACATAGCACGTGGAACTAGAACAATCTACACCAGTGAGCGAAATAAAGGTTTCTGTTCGACATTCCAACCACCTGAAGAAGGCCGGAGCGTACAACGGCCAAAACGTTGTAATAAATATGGCGACCAAGATAGTCCGAATAATGTAAATAGTGTAAATTATGTAAAGAGAAACAAGTTTTAATCAAAAGTTAGAATGCTCTAAAAAGGATGCAAAAATTTAATAAAATAATTAAAATATACTTTGGTCTTTCCCCTTAATAATAACATAAACCTTTTGACGATAAAATTTTGTTTTCGTCAAGTTTAAGGCCGTTTTTATCATGCTATGCCCATTTTTCTCATAAAGATACCTACATATTGCCGGTGTTGGCTTGTAGGGCATGTCGTAAGTCCGAGTGGTCGTTAAACGGGTAAGTCGATAAGTGAGAAGAGGCTGTATATGAAATCAACCTGAATTGAAATTAGGGTCTCCGATTAACAATTTAAAGCTATTTTTCAGTATTGATGCTTAACACAGGTGATGGTAATGGAAATGGAAACGTTGTTTCAACATGACGTGACCGTATCCCGAGAAATTATCGATGCCTTTATTTTTCATTTAAGAGGAATCATTATGAAGTTGAAGTATCTGTGCATGTGCTTCCCAAAATATACCATACAGAAAAAATTTTAAAAACAAATTATTGTAAACGTTTTGTAAAA